CAGTTTTTCAGTGTGGAGAGGAGAAAAGAAAGATAGATCTATACTCTACGAAGCCTGAAACAGATTGAAAAATTAAATTAAAATAAAAAAAGCACCAAACACTAATTCCCATGATTTAACAAATGCACACAACAAAGTTTCATGAAACTAACAGTACAAAAATTCATTGCTAGAAAATCTGTGCCATTACCAATCCAAAAAAGGATTAAAAAGAAATAAGAAAAATATTCTGTATGTTCGGTCTAGTTACAAAATCCCTAACTTCTCAATTATGGTTTGATGATTTAAACTCATGTAAAGATGAGATTAAAAGTCATTGCTGCACAAAGATGTAAACTATGACAATCAACTTGAGAATATGCTAAACTTTATTGTTAAATTGTAACTTGTTTAGATATATTCTTTTGTTTATGTAGTAGCCAACAAATACTATATAAATTGTCTTTGCACAATTACTTACGTGAACATAGTTATTCATCTTTGTAAATTATGAAGTCCCAGCATCCTTAGAGATATTCCAACTCTTCAGAGGTAAAAACTTTTCATTACAGACTATGCAATGTCTAACATGTTGATAGCTCCCATATAAGTTACTGCTTTCACATCCATTTAACAAGAACAATAAAAATATTTCCATTTAAAAAAATCAATACTATGCTCTTAAGTTATGTATTTTTTGTTTGCACAGTCTGCCATACTTATTCTACAGCAAGTACAATCTGTTTCTGTGATGACTTATTTATCGCTACTTTACTTCTCAGACAAGTCACAATATTGATAAAACTATGTAACTTCTGAAATTATTCTGTTTGTAAATTATATACAGTTGCTCAGAGGAGTGATCATCAGGCTTTTATAGGAATAAATATTGCCATGTATTACATGAAACTTCCATGATTGCAAAATGATACTCAGTTTTTGGTTGCTCCTGGGAAGGAAACACAGAATGCTTTGAAACTTAACAGACGTTAGCTGAACTTCATTGCCAAACTAACTAATCAGAGCCAGTCTGAAAAAAGTAAAAATTCTTTTTGCATGAAAATATTACTAAAGATTACACTACAAGGTTGGCAAAAAATCCAAATGGAACCAAAGAAGAGCCATAAGTCATAACTAAGCAAGTTATTTCACTGTTCTGCCAGGTACTCATGCACTAGGTCAGGCAGTTTTGGTTTGAACTCAATATATTTGATGTATACCAGAACTAACAGTCAGAGTGCCAGATGAATGACTGAACAGGCACTCGTGTGTGCATCAATGTTTATTAATTCTCAATCAGCTTAAGCACTGGCAAATGGGTACCTCGCACTGTATTCTTTCTAACATGAAAATTGTATTGGGATGCTAAGTCAACTCTGTAGATTTTGATATATTGCAATTTAGATAGATGAGTTCTCTGTCTTGACACGGTGGAGATATTGTTCTGAACTAAAATGCTCTCAGAATAAGTACAAATGAAGTGAAGCTCCCTTATGCTGGAATTTGACTGGAAATACATGTGTATGCAGCCAATTCAGCATCCCCACATGATATGGACCACAGGACCATCTGATTTCAAACAACAGAAGCAACATGTATGATTCTGAAAGACCTACAAATCTTCATTTCATAGGGTAAAAGGAATATCAGAATTAAAAGGACTACCTGTTACATAAAGAACTGTTTATCTAATTTTAAAGTCAATTCAAATTTTTATTTATTGCAGCTTGAAATTCGAAGGTCAATGTCAAAATAGATCTTTTTTTTTCTTGAATTACTACAAGGAATCTTCACCCAAGTTGTAAGATACTGTGAACTGCAGCCTCAGTAAGATGGCCTTCATCTGCCATCTCTAAGGAGCTTCAAAGTGAATCAAAAGCTGGATTTTGGAAATGAAATCATGTTTTCTTTAATGTTCTGAAAAACTTAGTATTGTTTTTAATGCCTTCAGAAAGATGTTAAATCAAACATGCCAGCTGGTATGACCTGCTGGTAAGTGCAATGCCAGTATTTAGTTGATGGAAAATATACAGGAATACAAAATTAATCTCTACAAATAATCAAAATGCTATTTTTCTTCAGTGTTTTACAGATTTAGCATCCAACGTGAATCATTATTACAGAGAATTTACTTACTTTCAGTGTGTTACCACTAAGATGTAGTAACTATATTTTTGAACTAAAACTATTTGTTTTAAATTTTATAATAATTTTAGGCATACAACTAGTATGTACTCAGTAATACTGTATACATGATACTGAATTTAATTTGGTTTTATAAATGAAACAGTATGTATAATATACTCACAGGTCCTTAACCAGCACAGTCTTTCTTGTACAGTTACAGCTCTGGTCAGAACAGCAGATCTTTATATGGTAAAAACAAGTACAGAATTGGAACAGAAATTTATATTTTCTCACCAAATACATAAAAAATTTACTGAGAAACACAACTTTGCATTTCAGCAACTAGCAGGAAATAACAACCTTGCCCTTGTGCTAAGTACTATAAGGTAAAAAAGAAGCAAAGAAAAAAAAAAGACAAATCCAGCAAAGTATTATCTTTCTTTAAAATTCAATGCAGCTTTTAAACTTTAACAAGTGCAGTGAATGTATGACTGCTTATCAGGTTAGCAAACTTTCTACTAATTCCCATATTTTCTGTCAACATTTCCTGAATAAACAAGTAATAAAGAAGCAATGAAGCAGCTAATAATTACTAGCAGCACGGCAAGGATAAAGAAATATTAATTCTTTCATGCACAACTGTTAAAAATCTGTCAGGACTTCATGTCACTTGTGAAATGCCTGTGTCCAAAATCCCAACTCAATAGTACTGAGCTGTGAAATGAAACCTTGGAGAATTCTTTCTGCAAGTGGTAATGAACAATCTCACTAAACGTACTCTTTCAGCCAGCTGCTTTAATTTAGTTAGCCAACTTCTCAGTTTAAAGACAGTCTCTGCCAGCAAAAGAATATCACTTTCATGTCTCAGTCAGACAAACAAAATACATCATGAACAAAAGTTTTATTTATTTTTAATCTTAGATTGGTTTTGCTTTTATATTTCCCATTCTCATGCAGCAAATGAGATTTGTTTTAGATAACTTCTTTTTTTCTTTTTCATTGTGGCAGTTTGGGGAAAGCAAAAAATCAAAAATAATTGTGACTACGCTAAAGAAGGTTTAGAGATGGTACTAATAAGATGCATACTATTTCCATCTACCATGTCTGTTTAAAAATGCATCAATTAAATTACTAATCACTGAGTGTTGACTTTGCAGCTTTCAGATAAAGCTATCTTTTACTCTCTCTTGCAAAGGAGCCCAAATTTAGAAAATATAAATGATATAAGGATCTTTAAACCTTTACTAAATATCATGTCATTTTGACGCAATTAGGGTGTGTTACAAAAGCTAGAGAATTCAGAGAATAGCAAAACAGTTGAAGTTAGAAGGGAACTCCTGAGATCATCCTGAGTCCAGCAACCCCAATCAAGTAACCTGCTACAGCAGATTGTCCAGAATCATGTCCAGCTGGATTTTTAATGTCTTCACAGATGGAGACTCTCCAGCACCTATGGGCAGCCTATGTTTTATCACCTTTACAGTAAAAAGTGTCTTCTCACCTTCAGATTGAGAAACTAGCTGTTCTCTCTGGATCCATTGTTCTTCATCCTGTCAGAGGGCACTACTGAGGAAGTCTAGCTCCATCAACTTCATTTCCATCCAAGAGGGAGGAAATCACACAAACTGACTGGTAAGATCCTCTCTGACTCTTCTCTACTCTAGGTTAAACAGTCTTTCCTCTGAAAGATGAGAGATACTCCAGTCCTCTAATCTTTTTTGTGGTGTTTTACTGGATTTGCTCAAGGAAGGCTGTATCTACCCTGTCTTGGAACTGGGAGCAGACACAGAACAGGACATATTAGTATAGTTGACTAGGGAATATTGCATATAATCTGAAAAAATATGATCATAATTTTTTAATTAAATTTGACATGGCTATCTGTGGAGCAAGTAAGCTTTTAGGTAGCAAAAGTCATGCTACATTAATGAAACGGATGATGGAAAGAAGGAAGCAAGAAGAGACAATGATGGTGTTGTTCTCTTTGGATTACAAATGCCAAAGAAAGCCAGATGAAGGGCAGGATATGTCCTCAGGTGTCATGTCAGAGAGAGGACAAGGGAGTGGCTATGAGCAGATAATCAAAGTCTGAGATCCAGTGATTACTTTACAGCTTTTACTTCATTGCTTTTCCTCTTGTTCTCCTCAGAGGAAATACTTGTAAAGGAACAATTCTACTATAATAGCAGTTAATAGTGACCGCAGTTTCCACTTGCTGAGCACAGCTGATGAAAACCAAGACTTAAACCAAAGAGTATATGAATTTTGCTTAATTTTTCTTACACATTCTTTAGACATATTTGGCACAAAAAGTGTAATTTGCTGTCAATCAATAGAAATGAAAAATTGAAACTAATGTCAGGAGATAATGTGAGAACTAATGGGACTGGGTTAATTATTCTCCTAAAAACAGGATGGAAATTATTTAGATTAGGCAGTAAGAAAAACAACTATAATTAAAAAAGACTCCACAAAGACTACTAGAGGACAGAGCATCTCTTTATACATTATTAATAAATTTCAATTTAAGGAGCTAGCAAGTTCTTATCAGTTAAAACAGGTAAAGTAACCCAAAATATAATGCTTAACTTTTTAAAAAGAATGAAAAAGAGAAGAAAATTAGTTTCTACCACTTCAAAAATAGCACTGAATGGAAAAACATTAGAGGCATAACCAGGCATTAGAAGTAAAAAAGAGATAAGGCACATGTTAGTGAAAAGCAATACCAGCTTTCCGTGGTAGCAAATATAGAAACAACACTGAATGTTTATTTAATCATATACTATAGCAAAACACAATACCTGTTCAAAAGTTCAAAGCTGTTCACTGTGAATGCAATTTCACTTAATACTGCAGATTGCTTTTTTTCTATTCATCATGATTCTGAAGGATACTCAGTAGAAGAATGATGTGTGATTCTGCAACAAATTGAGCCTGGCTGCTTCCATGTATGTAACTCTGAAAAACAAAAATAATAATAAAAAAAAGAATTCAATTGAAAATGACACAGTTGGGCATATGTGAATGCAAATAAAATCTGTTTTGCAGAAAAATATAGACTGCAGCAGACATAGCTGAACAGCACATACATATGGATCTAAATTTAGTCAAAAGTAATGTTATAAACAACATTTAGGAAAATCATACATATACATAGGATGTAATACTTAATATAAAACATATAGTTCAGTTATTTTCACACTGCCAAAGTGGAGGAAATTATATGCATTTATTTGCTCAGGACATACAGAGAAGTAAAGCTGATGAAATCAAGGACATGCCTCAGCACAGGACTGAATGAAGTTAAAACTGAAACTTAAAATGCTGCCTTTAATAAGTCAGTCTTTTTTGCTCTTAGACTGACTGAAGTTACTTCATAAAAACTATATTCCATCTTTTTCAGTGAAGGTATTCTTAGATCCATAAAAAATCATAAATAAAATTCATACACAAAATGTTTCATTCGTATGAAATTGTAGTAAACACAACCATGGGTGCTAAATTGAATAATTCCAAGTATTCATTGTTAATGAGCTCATTTTGTATGTTGCTTGTTAATACAGCATACAATTCAAAAATCGTTAGTGTTTATTTTTTACTAGCCATGATATCAAACAAGTAACAGGGACTGTAAATACATGAAATGAACAAAGTTCTCTCTTTTCCTCTACTGTATCAATTACAATTGTTCAATAGTTTGCTGTGCTACCAAATGTGAAATTAAATATAATTTGTTCTCAAAGTATTTTTATACATATTGCACAGATGCAAATTTCACCCCAATTAAATAGATAAAAAAATGCTCACGCCCGATAAGTTAAAGAAAAAGGAAACTTCTTGCCCTCCACATGGCTTCAGGGTTTTATTAGTTTGCTTCTTCTAGCTCTAACGTTTTGCTTTAATTCATTTTATTTTGAATAGTTCTGCCTAAATACCATTGATGTCAAGATTCAGAACAATTCCAATTTGAAACGCTCTGACACTTTAGGATACAAAAGAATGCCTTAATCCACACAGGTTAAGTTCTGGTGAATTCACTGTCTAAATATGTCATTCATAAGATACTATAAGACATCTTTTACTCAATGGATGGTTATCTACTGCTTTTAAAATTCAACGTATTATGTTCATCCAAATCACTAATTCAAAGCTAAAGCACATAAGAGCTTCATGTATCTAAAGACTCAATCTCTCAAGTAAAATGTCTTTTTTCCTCAACAAGATAAAGATTACTGATCTCATGTGATTACCTCACTGCAGTATGATTATGACAATAAGCCAATCTATATTTCCTGACTTTTTGTCAGGGCCCTTAATAAATCTCACTAAGGCAAAAGAGAGTGATATAAAAAAAGGAAGGAAATGGGAATATTTCATATTAAGAAAAAGTAAAGATGAAGTTAAAATGCTCTTTAATAGACTGATCCTTAATCACCATTCTTTGCTGCCGTGTGCAAAGTGGTATGAAAAATCTCTTAGCATATAAAACCATAACTAGAGAACACAATCCCACTGTCAATACAAATATTCACATTTACTCAATCAAATTCATCTTTGTATAAAATACAGGCTAGATTTAGATTGTTTTATCCACGATTTCCTCCAGCATAGTGATGAAAAAAACTGCTAAGATTTTGCTCTCCAATGTACTCTGAATCAATTGCAACCACAGTGCTGCAAATAGTGACTGTCACTATTTCTCATGCAGCTAAAGCAATACATACATACATAGGTGTAAATACATTTGCTGGATCTGCATTCAAGTGCACTTAACAGTACACATCTCTTTTTATTGCTATGACACCAATTTATAACCTAAACCTTCTAATAATTAAATATATACTGTATTTGATAATATGAGGTTAAGTAAAATAAACAATGGAATTTCTAACAGAAAAGTGCAACACAGTCTAATAACACTATGTAGTTAATACATACCTACATGCATTTTCACATAATCACTACTGGTTGCTGCCTACACATACTCTAAAATCTATGAAAACATGCAGTGGGAATGAAAAGAAATACGCTCTGTGTTTAAGAGTGAACATTATTATCTTCATTTAATAAAAGTGGCTGTTGTATTACTGTTAAGACTATGAATACCTTCTGTATTTGTAAAATATTTAGATAAGAGCGGTCATTTTTATTGACAAGCTTTATACTCATTTTACACTTTTATGTTAGCAATTTAAACCATTGTAACATGATTGATGGAACAGAATTCAAAGCATATTACATACATACACATAAAATAAGCACAGGAATCATTCTTCTCTTCAAACAGTCCACCAACATTACATTGTTTAGCTTTCATCCAAAGTTTTCAATTAGAAATCTTTACCTCGCTCTTCACTAAATTCCCCAAGAAATTGATTTTATGGCTAATGTAAGATATATATATTTATCTCATCATTATTTATTTTTTTTTTTCATTTCAGGATTTTCCAGGAGCTGTTTGAGAAGCTTTCATGGCACAAAACACATCAGCAGATCAATCTCTCTAAAGATAAATCTTTAAGAACAAAAAATTGTGAAAAGACATGTTCTCATTACCAATACTTAGATACCAAGATATCATCAGATACTTAGAAAAATACATGGACTAGACAGAGTTCATTTGCAAACAAAAAGTTTGAATTAAACTATATCAAACAAAATGAAACATGGAAAGGAACCTGCCTAGAAGACCTAAAGCAAAGATTCTACTTTGAAAACTAGGTGATGAATATGAATTTCTGGTTAAACATCTCAAAGGGATTGATGTTATATCTTTTAAAATGTGGGTTGCCAAAGGCATAGCCTTGCTTTCAAGGAAGCGGATGAACTTTGATTCATTTCTGGAGACTTTATGTGCATATTAAAAAGCTAATAAGAACCAATTGTTACCTATTGCTCTTTCCCCAGAGGAGGGATAAGAATGGCTAAAAGTAAAGCAAGTATTTATCTTAACTGAGAAAAACCTCACCACCATAGCACAGTTAACTAAGACATAAAAAGATGTCAGATTGACTTAAAAGGGATATAGAAAGAACACTAGTGAAATGTTAAATAGATGTTTATTGCCCATAAATACATATTTTTCGTTTTTATTTTATCTTTTTATGTTCTATTCCAAATCTGCTTAGGTAAGCTATCCTTTCAAGATATTTAGTAATAAACTTAAGGTAATCATGAGGCTCCTTAGACTGTCCCCCCTGCCACTATTCTCCAAGCACAGAACAACAAGATGGTACATCTCTACAACAGCAGCAGGTCAGTCCAAGGAATGGCACTACAGAAGCTGAGAAAGTAGAAGTCTGTTTCAGACTTCAGATAACAAAAATAACTTGCATTTAACAATATAATGTGAATCACCTGAGTTTGCCACTGACTGAACCTACATCAAATGGGGAATGTCATAAATGGGGAATATCATAACCACTGCGTGTAAGGAATTACTTGTGCTTTTTCTGCAATTAACTTTCATATCTGTATTCTAAAGAATAGACAAAAGCCAGAGTAGAACATTTTAGAAGATGGAAGACAAGCTTACACAAAAACAATGGCAAACAGCTGTTCATGAAGAGTTTTTCTGAATAGTCAGAACGATTTGGCATTTATCCTCATGTCTTACCCTACAGGTAGATAATGACACTATGAGGCTACTCAAAAGGTACAGATTTATTTCTACGGATATGGATTTACACATATGTAATAATAGTTTTATATACCATGATGGCCACTGTCTCGTCAGATTTTGAAACTCATAGCCAACTGTAGCCCATACCTACCTAAAATAGAATACATTTAATGACCACATGTATATATATATATATATTTAATATATATATATAATGACAAATCAGCTATATATATATATACACATGTGTATATATATATATATATAATGACAAATCAGCTTTTCAATATTTCTCAACCAGTTTTCTCAATAGTTTAATTGTGATCCACAACGCCTTTTAATTGCATAAAGTTCTTGAATTTTGGTCATCTTGAATCCAGATAACTAACATAAAGGAACTTGTTATGTGTGGAGTTTTTATTTTCACAATTCCTTCCCTTTGTAAAATTGCTGAACAACCTACATGCAAGGCATATATTTTTGTGAAATTCTATTTGAGACTACAAACTACTAAGGGACTGAGAAGTAAGATTTCCAATTTTGCTATCTTCTCTGCTTTCTGACACTTAATCCACTTCACATTTGGAAACTCTGTGAAGTCTATCTGGCTGAGAATGCTCTAGGCAAATGCTTTAAATAAACTCATGAATAAACTCAGTATTTTTCTTTCATATTGGAAGCATCAAGGGGGAAGACCATATAAAGCAGAAGTCCATCAGAACAGATGCAATCACAGAATTACCACAACTGAGAAAACAGCAAATGCTGTTAGTAAGATTAATAGTAGACCTGAAATACGAATGGCTAGCTCTTTGAACAACATGCCCTTTTACACCTGTAACATTGTCCTATCTCAGGTTTAATTTCTCAGAAGCAATTTGAATTGCTAACTGAAATAACAATTTATCTAAATCAGGCCATTATATTTGGCAGTTACAATTGTTTACTAAATGCAAATTTCTATGAAGTAGTGTTAAATATTTATCTACTATTTGTAAACTCATTAAATATTTAGTGTAATAGAACTGCAGATGGCACATACATATAATCCCTCACTAAGCTATTCAAGGATAACAACAGTATAATACATTTTTAAATTTCCCTAAGTACAGCATATGCTTGCGATACCCCATCAAGACTGATAGTTGTCACGTTCAGTAAATTACTTGAGTTAAATGTTATCTGTACTCTATTCTCACTTTCTGTTAATGCTATATAAATAAAGCAATCAGGAAAAAAAAAAAAAAGAAAAAAAAAAAAGAAAGAAAAAAAGGCATCTGTGAGTTACACGTATTAAGGCAGTACAGTTAACTTCCGGAGTTTTCCACTGAAGCCA